TGCCACCCTTTCCGTGTCACACCAGGTGACACGCCGTGCCCAGCCCTGCCAGGAAGCCCTGTCCCCGGTTGTTCCCCAGTCACCCCCATTTTACTCGGGGTTATGCCAGCCCAGATGGCTGCTCCTGGGGGGGGGCAGATGGTGCCCTGCACTCCACATTGACACCCCCCCCCCAAGTATGACCCACAGTGATCCTCGCTCACCTCCCCTGGCATGGAGACCCCCAGGACCCCCCTCTGATGCTCAGAGGGAGGATGCTCAGACACGAGGGATTTGGGATGTGGGGGCTTTCTGGGGGGTGGCCAGGCTCAGGGAGCCCCCTACATGGGTGCTTCCCCCCCCCCACTACCCCCCCAGCCCTGCCATGGGTGGCACCAGCCACCCAGATGAGCCGGGCAAGGGTGTTAGTTGGCAATTAGCCATCCTAACAAGCCAAAGGAGCAGCTTTCTGCCCTTGTTGGAGGAGCTGGGGGTGCCTGGTGCTGGTGGGGGGGGGGCTTTGCCCGCTGTAGGACCATGTCCCCCCACCAGCACGTGGGGGCCCAGAGACTGGAGAGGACATGGAGGGCAGCTGGTGCCGCTCTGGGGAGGAAGGAGAGACCATGTCCCCCAAACGGGGAGGAGGACAGGGTCCTTGGGGGTCCTCAAGACCTTCTCCCCTCTGGCTGGTGCCCTCCTCTGCCACCCCAAGGCCCCACTGGGGGTGAAGGGGGGAGCACGAAGGGATGGGGGGACACCACATGTGTGCCATTCTCTACCATGCCCCCCAACCCTAGGACTGGCTCATCCCCTGATCTTCTACCACCGGCCCCCCAGAGATCTCCCTCGGTGGGTACCAGCATGGTTGGGGGCTGGGGGGGGGCCTGCAGCCCCCAAAATGAGCTGGATCAAGTCCGAACCGATGTCTCGACCACCAAATCCCCCCCCAGGCCAGATGCACGAGGAAGATGGAGGAGAACCAGGAGCTGGGAGGCTGGGAGGGGAAGGCACCCGGTAATGAACTCTCTCCCAAGGATGCCAGCAGTGGGGCAGGGGCGGGGGGAGGACAACCCGAGGAGGACAATCAAACAATTAGGAAGGTGGTAATTACCCGCCTAATGAGATATCAGGTTGAATCCTAAAAGCATGGGGATATTTTTCATAGCAAGACGGAGATGGTGCAGCATCCGTCCTCTGGGGTATTTTCTCGGACAAAACATTTCCTTTCCGGCAAGACCAAGAGAAATTTGACAGGAGAATCTCTGGTGATGCAGCCCGTGGCTCTGAAACTGCCCAGTGCTCTCTCACCACCCACACCCGTGACCTTGCAGAAACGCCCCAAAAAAAGCAGCTCGCCTCCAAGGCGAGAAGAGCTGCTCGGGGGTTCTTCTTGCTCTTCTCCAGGAGGCCGAGACCCCAGGTTCTCCTCATCGGAGAAGGAGGTCGTGGTGAGGAGAGCCGGAGGGAGGGAGCGTGCCCTGCTTGGACCTGCGGAAAGGTAGGGGGTCAGGACCAGAGCCCCTCTCAACGCTCCTGCATGTCCTCCCTCGGGGCACCTGGAGCCCCCCCCAACCTCTCATCCACACTCTCCCCCAGCCCAGCCATCACCCCAACCCTCCTGTCACCCCCCTGTCCCCACCCCTGCTGTGCCACGTCACCAGGACCCCTCTCCCTGACAGGTCCTTCTTGCTCTTGGGGTCCCATTGACTCTCCATCTGCTCTGACTGCAGCCAGGGACCACGTCCCACCTCCCACCATGGAGCTGAACCAGACATTCCCACCTACCGCGTCACCCACGCCGACCACCGGTGGAGAAGACTCCTGCATATTGGAGGTCACTGACATGGCCATCGATGGTCTCACGCTGCTCATCTGCCTCTGTGGGCTGGTGGGGAACGGGGTGGTCCTCTGGCTCCTCGGCTTCCGCATCCGCAGGAACCCCATCACCGTCTACATCCTCAACTTGGCCGTCACTGACTTCGCCTTCCTCCTCTTCATAGTCGCCTCATCCCTCCTCTACCTGATAGACAATTCCTCTTGCGACCCCACTGGGATCCTGAAGTACCAGAGGTGGCTTTTCCAGTTCTCACTCTTCTCCTACAACATGAGTCTGTACCTCCTGACGGCCATCAGCATCGAGAGGTGTGTGTCCATCCTCTGCCCGCTCTGGTACCGCTGCCGCCGCCCCCAGCGCTTGTCGGCGGCACTGTGTGCCCTGCTCTGGGTCCTCTCCATCGCTGTCACTGCTCCAGTCACTGCTCTGTGCCTGATGAAGTATGAAGAGCACTGCCAGACAGCTCTCATCTCCATGTATGTCCTCAACTTCCTCATCCTTGCCCCACCCATGGTCATTTCCAACGTGATCCTCTTCATTAAGGTCCTGTGTGGCTCCCAGCAGCGCCAGCCCAAGAGGCTCTACATCGTCATCTTCCTCACTGTCCTCTTCTTTCTCATCTTTGGGGTTCCCCTCAGCATCCAGAATTTCCTGCAGCAGTTCAGCTACCGCTTTCTGTCCTCCCAGGCTGTTTTCCTCCTCGCCTCCATCAACAGCAGCATCAACCCCTTCATCTACTTCTTGGTGGGGAGCTGCCGGAGGCACTGCTCCGTGGTGTCTCTTCAGGTCGCCTTCCAGAGGGTCTTCGAAGAAACGGCAGTCACCATGGTCTCCAGCTAAGAGGCCATGTATCCAGACCAGCTGTGCTGCCCATCCTTGCTCCCAGCTCGGCCAGCAGGTCACCTTCCTGCAGCTGTGTGTCATGATGCATCCTGCATCCCATCCCTTATCCTATCCCATCCTCACCCCCGTCCCATGACCATCTCCATCCCCATCCCTATCACACCTTCATCCCTATGCCATTCCAATCCCACCCCATCCCCATCCCATCTCCATCCCTCCCATCCCTGCTCCCCAACCCTCTCCCACCCTCATCCCCATCCTATCCCCACTCCATCCCATGACCATCTCCATCTCCATTCCCCCCATCCTATCCTACCCTGTCCCCATCCCTGTCCCTCATTCTTATTCTTGCTCCCCATCCCTGCTCCCCATCCTCATCCTTACCACACCCTCTTCCTCGTCCCTTTCCCATCGCCACACGGACCCATGACCATCCCCATCCCCCCATCCCACCGCATCCCATCCCCACCTCTGCTCCCCATCCCCGTCCCATGACCATCCCC